CGGAGATGAACACCGGCAAAGGCTTTGGAAGCAAAGGCCTATGCATCGTGAAGGTACTAGAGGCAAAGACCCCGAAGATGAAGATCTGGGAAGACCTCGGAGGCGAAGACCCACACGCTGAGGTGATACCAGAGGCAGAAGACCCGAAGGCGATTGAAGACCCCTGCACCGAGAAGACATGGAGACGAAGGCCCATACATCAGGCCTTGGAGACACACCTGCGCGCCAACAAGTCATCAGAGGGAAAGGCCTCAAGGATGAAGACCCACGCATTGTGGAGGTCCTAGGAATGAAGACCAGAGCACTGAGCGAAGCCGATGAACCATGTTATAGAAGCAGCAGAAGGAGCAAAAGGCCACAGATGAAAAATCTGGAAGACGAAGGCACCCAGAGCTAAAAGCCTAAGGAATTAGTGTGTGTATAGGTTAGAGTCATGCGCGTGCTCTTTTCTCCATGCCCTTTTTCCCATAGGGTTTTTGGGATGGAGTTTTTAGTGAGGCGCGCATGTATGGGTTGTGGAGGGCAATCCTCGCAACCAAGGTTTGAGTTGTACAATGCCTCTTCTTGTATAAACATCTACTAGGTCATGTAGTACCGTCCATAACCTAGTAGCTGAGGGGCTACTGTTGGGGGAGCCCATACGGAGTATGGGCCAACTCCCCTCGAAGAGGCCTGATGAAGGAATGATGGCGGAGGCTCTCCCCAACATGGCGGAGGCTAGCACAAGGAAAATGGCGGAGGTCCTCCCCAAGATGGCAGAGGCTCTCCCCGAGATGATGGTTCCTCAGACTGTGCTTGCAGGACGATGCCGGTGACCCTGGCGCAGCCTCCGCCCGGTTAGCTCGCAGGTGTCTCCGGGCGGAGGCCTCCCCGCTGCAAAGCTAATCAAGTGCCGACATTACCTACGTGTGTACAGGTAACCGGAGGAAGGCACTCATGACGGCGCGCGCGCGCCGGCCTCGGCTCGCCTCCGCTCATATGGGGCGGAGACCCAAGCAGAGGATGGCAGAATCAAGGCGTCGGAGGTCAGCGGCTTCAAGCGTCCCCAGAGGTGGAGACCTCGGCGAAGGACCAAAGGCCCATCGCCAAACCCCGAGGCCTGATGGGCGAGCTGATCACAGCAGCCCAAAGACTGAGGGCAGCATGACAAGATTACCCACGAGACGAAAGGCGAGTAGTGGAATATTCTCGAGAATGTACTCAGAGCAGTTGGAGGGTACTATTGTAAGCTCAGAAGTGGTAGTTGAGCCCTACAAATAGGGAAGACTTGTAACTCGTACATAAAATTTGGAAAATGAACAAATGAAACCCTAGTTCTTGTGAGTCGGTATTTTGATCCTCATTCTCTCTTTCAGGCAGTGCCTCTGCCGAAGCTAGAGTCCGGAACCTCGGCCAAAGTCGAAGGCCTCCGCCCCTTTCTTTCTCCCACTTTGTCAAAGCCCATTGAATCCCTTGTTTAGCGACCTTCTACCCGGAGCCTCTGACGGATGATCTTGTCCGACAGGAGTGCGCCGCGTTCAGGGACCTCCGCCCGTCTTAGGCGGAGACCCCAACCTAAGACGAAGGCCTCCGCTCACTTCTCACTCTTGTTAGAAACCGATGTTTCAACAGTCACATCTAGTCACTGTAGCAGCATGACAGCCTTACATATCTGTGTACTAGGATTAGATGAGTATAGTTGTATATATAGCTTCCCACTGCAACTCAGTAAAGTGAGAGAGTTTAGTTTGCCATCTCCTCTGCAGAGCTCTGGCCAACGCTGATGCTTGTGCTGTGTGTGCGCGCGCTCTGTTCTCCCTCCCTTTTCTACCTCTAGCCATAGTGAGCGAGAATGCCGGTGACCGGTCGGCTCACCCGTGCGGAAGATCTCAGTACCAACACTATCTAGAGCACTGAATGTACCCCCAAGAGCGAGGTCTAACAAACCATTATATAAATATCGAACATGTCTATGCTATCTTCCTCACACCAAATAATTATGACATCCAATACAGATGTAGTGGTTCCTGCTATCTTCGTCCATGCCTTGCTCCTCATGGCCTATTGTAAGTAACTAAAACAACCTTCTTGCTTATCAAGTTCAAGCTCCATTCAAGAAAATATGTGGTTTATATGGTTCTAACTACCCATCAATTTATGATTGTGCGTAGGCGCGGAGGCAAAGATATGCACGAAGCCTAATCGAGGCAATGATATGCACGAAGCCTAATCCATTTTACCTTAGTTTATGCCAAAGCGATAAGGATTGTGGAGACTCGTGCGTTCACTTTGGCATCGGCACCAGCGGGTTCTGCAAGGGCAGAAGACCACCTACCAGAGTATGTACATGTAACTTTGAATGTCCAGGGCAAGGACGAAGCAATCTGCCAGGAGTCAAGCTGCTATCCAGCGGGCAGAAGTTGTTGTCATCTGGAGATGAGCCTCCATCTAGGATGCCCAAATTGACAATATCCAATTGAATGTTTATGTAGTTGATTGATGAAATTGATGAAGCCGGAACTTTTTGTTTCCATTATCTAAAAAAAAATTTGATTGATGAAATAAGAGCAACACATTTATATGTACACATGCATGATGTTTTAAGCAATCGTGTTAAAGTAATTAAGTAATATGAACAAAACTGATAGCATTTGCATGATGTGTGAAACATCTTCATGGACAAGACTCGGTACTTTTTGTTCCAATACGGCCTGTGTGTTTATCATAACAAACCTAGCTAGCCTAGAAAGCCTAAGGGTCTGTTTGGATTGCTTCAACAACTGACCGCAAAAACTTAGCTCTCTGTCTGGATGGCTTCATAATCTCGTCGTAACTCTGGCATGCAGCAAGTTTTGCTTCAGCTTTCAGTAATCTCTGGCGAGCAAAACACTCTCAGTGCTTTTGGCTCACCATATAGCTACTGTGTGGTAAATCGAGGGAGCTATCCAAACAGACCCTAAACCTTAAACTGATGAGTGCAACAAGATCACCATTTCCTAAGCTAAATGTACATGCAGTGAATGTCTTTTCGGCCACTTTCTAGATATTAGCAATTTCTCTAAAGAAAGATTAGGCTTGTTTAAAAGTGAGATAGATAGATAGATAGATAGATAGATAGATAGATAGATAGATAGATAGATAGATAGATAGATAGATAGATAGATAGATAGATCATGATACATTTGATTTTTTTACTTAAAAATCTATGTTGCAAATAGTTTTTATTGCTCATTTGATTGTAGTTTTCCTCTCTCCATGAGCCCTGGTACGAAATCTATATAGCTGTCATCAACCAATTCCTTAATTAGAGCATCTCCAAGAATGCCCCTAGTTAACATCTCATAGTAAAAAAATTAACAAAAAAAACATCAGTAGCACACCTATCTAACATCCTAAATTCAATAATGGCGCCATAAATAAAGCATCCTTCTGCCTCAAATTTGAGTCACTCCATGGACACAACATATAAAAAAAATAGAAGGTTGAGATTTAGCGGGAATTACTATGGGATAAAAATGATTTAGGGTACATTTATGTTTAAGATGGACCCTGCATCAGAAAATAGGACATCTAATTTTAAGTGGGATCCTGGAGATGCTCTTAGTTTAAAGATATTGTCATTTTTCTTAGCTCTTCTTTTCTTTTCACTTATTCATTGGTTGCCTGATTCCTGTTGAGGTCAAATCAACTCAACTCAGCTACTCTCTTTCCTCATCAAGTTTCTCAAACGTTTAGTTTCTTGGCCCCTTGTAAAATTTAAATTCTTTATTATGATCATATAATTAACTTCTCTTGTGGATTGGTTGCCATGTAATATGGATCCACTAGTACATTTGGTTTGAGGACAAGGGTGGATGGGATATGGCCATCCATGGATTTAGAGATATGGATATCCATGTTGTCTGTTTGGTTGAATGAATGGAGAAAGCTATTTTTCTGTTTGGTTAGATGGATGAGAGTGGATGTGATAAGAATAATTGATTAATTATATCTATTATTTAAAAATAATAACAACTAATTATTACACTAATAAATATACACTAACACTAATTTTGTCATGATAAACAATAATAAAAAAAATAAAATATATTAATTAGCACTACTACACTACCCTAATTATTGGCACACAAAATATGTGCTAATCAACATATTAGCATGTATCAAAACTAATCTTGTCATCATAATTACTAATTAATAATATAACATACCAATAATCTTTAATTTATTTAGGGGGCTGGTGAAGCTCTACCAAGCATACCCTTAACCTAGAGAAAAACAAAGTGAGAGTTATTTGAGATCAGAAGGAGTAAATTCTACTCTTATAACATTATTGGGGTTCCAAACAAAAGGAAATACTATTATTCATGTTGTATTTAATGGTGCTCATTATAAACTTGGTCAATTTTATGATAGTTTGAATATAATAATTCAAAATCCATTATTTAGGATGAAGATAGATAGATAGATAGATAGATAGATAGAGAGAGAGAGAGAGAGAGAGAGAGATAGAGAGAGAGAGAGAGAGAGATAGACAGATAGATAGATAGAGACAAATAGACAAATAGACAGTGTCCCATAACATAGCTATGGTTTCTTAGACATTCATTAAATCGCTGCATGTGCTCCTGGTTTACGTATGTCAGCTATGCCTACTACCTTGTATGTGCCAATGCTACTTCATTATGTGAATGCTATCATTTATTTCCACTAATTGTGCACACAACTAAAGTGCATGGTAGTTTAGTCTGTTCGCCATTTCAATTCCCTAGATACTAAAAAATAGTTGTATTTTTGACAAAATTTTAAACAACTGACGTAGCTATATTCTAAGGTGGAGGGCGAATAGATTAGATATAGATAGAGAGATCAAGAGAGATATAGATATCGATATAGATAAAGATAGGGGCACAGAGCGATAGAGATCATAGCCATCTAGAACATTGAAAGTACCCCGGAGGTGCACTAAGGAACCACTATAAATATTGAACATGTATATGCTCTTTTCTTCACACCAAGTAACCATGGCATCCAGCAAGATTGTAGCGGTGCCTGTTGTCTTCACCCTCGCCTTGCTCCTTGTTGCCTATTGTAAGTAACTAAATCAACCTTGTCGCTTGTCAAGTTCACTGAAACACTAAAGTAGAATTACTTCTAATTCGACACTTGATGACACATATACCTCTTGTATATATATCATGGAGCGATTACTTTGAACCTCCGTTCAAGAGTACATGTGGTTATTATGCTTCTAACTAGTCGGTGATTTATGATTGTACGCAGGTGCGGAGGCAACAATCTGCTCAAGGAAAAATCCTTCTTACCCTGGCTCGTGCAGGAGCAATAAGGACTGTGCAAACTCGTGTACTCAACATGGGCTTGGCACTAGCGGGTACTGCAAGGGCAATGTCCGCTTTTTCAAAACATGCTTTTGTACCTTTGAATGTCCGGGGGGAGGGGGAGGGGGAGGGGGAGGAGGAAATCCGCCAGGAGTCAAGCCGCTATCCAACGGGCACTAGTAGTCATTTGGGGATGAGCCACCGTTTCATGTCTAGATTGGAAGTATATGTCTGAGTGTTTATGCAATTGATCGATCGAATAAGAGCAAAACATATATATGTACACATGCATGTTTTAAGCAATCTATCGTGTGAAAGTAATTAAGTGAAATGAACAAAATTGATAGTATATTTGATGTGAAACATCTTCATGGACAAGGTTCGGTACTTTTTGTTCCAATACGACCACGTGTTTATCATGAGAGATCTAGCCCAGGAAAGCTAAACCTTGCACTGATGATGAGTGACGACAAGATCATTGTTTCCTAAGTTAAATGTACGTGCAGTAATAATTGGTCACTTTCTAGATATTAGTAATTTCTCTAAAGAAAGATTATCTGTAACTTGTGATTGGATCATATACTCTTCACCACGGTGATCTGGGCTTGCTTAAACATGAGAAAATTGAAACGATGCACATCCATAGTGCATCTATACACACCAAATTTGAGATTCAAACTCCATCTAGAAAAAAAAATCATACGAAAAGAACAAATTTCAGCTGCATAGAGGCATTATTAGAAGACAATTGTTTTTGAGAATTTTGTCTTCTGGTACATATGCACCTGAGATTGGATATTTTTGTATAAATTTTATAAAATGAATTTGAATCTCAAATTTAGTGGCGACGTACATCTATATAGTTGCACTATGGATGTGCACCGTTTTTTATTTTTAAAAACTCCTAAGTAAGTTTTTCAAAGGGGTTTTCATGATTCCATTGAGAAGGTGGTTTGCATCTAATAATATTTTCCCTAGTAGATAGATAGAGATAAAGATAGCCATCTAGGACACTAAACATAGCGTGGAGGCTAAAGAAACCACTAAAAATATTGAACTTATTTAAGCTCTTTTCCTCATACAAAATACATTACTCACATCCAACAAGAAAGCAACGTTGGTTGCTGATTTTATCATGGACGCTCCTCGTGGCCTATATTGCAAAGTAACTAAAACAACATTGTTGCTTATCAAGTTCATTCAAATACTAAAGGAGAACTGCTACATCTAATTAAACACTTGGCGGTAGATATATGTACCATGGAGCGATTATTGCTCCTGGAAAAATATTTTTTTTGTGCGCTGAAAAACAACGAAGTAAATTGATTATATCGGTCACCCGACTGACAAATAAAATTGTCCCGTTTGTCTCCCAACCGAATGTATTTTCTGGACCTTACCTTACAGGGAATTTTCTAGTCGTTAAGTTTTGTGATATCTTAGGTGCAAGGTTAAATACTTTTCATATCAGTAGCCGCACAAGGAAAAGCCAGCTAGAGAAAAAGCAGGTTCTTGAGCCTTTTCCGTGGGCCTAGAGACGGGAATCAAAGCAAAGGACGAAATAGATAATCGCCGTGTTCGGCTGGGGCTGGCCGGACTGGCCAGCCCCCTCACATGAACACTGTTCCAATGAACCAGTCAACAGTACTTCTCTCTCATATAAACGAACCAGCAACGATACGAATCAGCCAACCGAACAGGCTGAATACTCCTAGCTGCAACAGATGCGGTAGGCCACTATATGCGCACATTTAAGCGTCAGGGCTCCAGAGTTGGAAATTCAAGGTTCACCCAACTCGAGAGGCTGCAAGTACAGGATTACTAGAGCACACCTCTGCTTTGGTTTTTGCCCGACGGACGCCAGATATGGACTCCAAATTATGGTTAGTTAATAACCGATACCGATGGTTGTGCGCCTCAGAATCCCCATGAAAGTGAAGTGAAAGCAAACGAGTAACACCACTGTTTCTTTAACCAAAGCAATGTTGTAGTGGTGTAAATAGATCGGATACGGATGGATATATACGGCTACGGCTACAAATGGCTATAATTTGGATTCAGATTCAGGTGTAAATTGGACCAATCAAAATAGTCTGGATGTAAACTAAGCCAAGATTTGTTCATACATTAATCATGCAAAGAGGATATGTGAATGCTTTCTTTATTCTGTATAGAGTGCATATCAAGACAAATTGTATTAGGTCCAATATTTCGGTCTCGTTTGTTATTGTAAATTATGTTCCCTGCTACAGAGGCGCATTGGCACGGTTTCCCCTCTCCTTGCGCCAACAGGAAGAAGAGGAGACTGAGATGCTGTTGTCAAGAATAGATAAGAAGAGAGGGTTCTAGTTGAGAAAGTGCTAGAGAGAAAGAAAATAAAGAAGGGCTAGATTGATTAGTAATAGTTCAAGGTTCCCAATGCAACGTACCTATTAGGTCAGTCTCAGTGAGAGGTTTTATGAGAGTTTCATGGCATAAAATGAGCTGGCATGGCATAGTATAGATGAAGGGAGAGATGCTAAAAATTTTATGGGATGAAATGAGTCTCATGAGGATGAAACTTGTCAACACCGTTTCTAACACATGTGAGTCTTAGAAACCGGGACATGAAACTCTCACTGAGATTAACCTTAGCTGTAATAAATCCAAGAAAACACGAAGAATGGTAAAATACATTTTGTTAGAATTGAATTAACTGTAACTACACAATAGAAGTGGTCAATCACATGTTGCATACTTTATATTTCTTGGGTAAATGCATTTAGTAAAACCATAGCCTAATTTTGTAAGTAGTTCTTCTCCTCAATAAATCCCATAAAAATTACATCAAGTTAATAACGTGAATTCCACGCTAGCGTAAAAGTTTAGCACCTAAAAAAACTCAAATGATAATGCAAAAAATAAAATAATGTTTTTGTCAGCTTTAGGATAGTTTTACTAGGACAAATCAAAATCCATTAGATAGATAGACAAATAGATGGATCGATAGATAGATAGATAAACACTAGATATATAGACAGAGAATCACATAATAATATTTTCAGACAGATTAAGGACAGCAGTAAAAGGACTAATATGGCCTTCATTAAACTTGTCCCTACATGTGCATGTAGTTTATGTATGGCAGCTATATGCCTGCCTTGCAAGTGTCAATGGTAATTCATTATAAATGTGCATGCTAGTATGCTAGCATTTATTGCCACTAACTGTGCACACAAATCAAGTGGAAGGGTAGTATAGCTATTCTGTTCACCATTTAAATCCCCCAGAAAGTCAAACATAGTTGTATTTTGAGCACATTTTAAATGATAAATGAAGCTACGTTATGAGATGGAGGGAGTATATATATATATATATATATATATATATAATATATATATATAAACGAACTCGAACTAAGAATTCAAATTATAAAATTCTCGAGTTACTATTCATAGCACTATTCAAATTCGACATTCACTATTCAAATTCGGGATATGAACAGTACATGAGAGCGGCTCAACCACTTTACTATTCAGGACACGAGGCCTCTGCAAGTATGGCGTGACGTCGCTTTCACGCGAATATTTTATGGACGCTGGATGAGTGAACGAGTGATTAGCGAATATAAATATTGATATGTCGCTTTCGTGATTAGTTAAGCTAGTGCTTAGTGAATATGCATATGCGGATGAATATTTCTAAGGATCTTTTGCAGGCTGGCGAGACCAACAGTTCAGCCGGTCGTGTGACTATGCTTGTGACAGTCCTACTCGGTACTCACCGTATGCATCACTGGCACGCTTCAGAATCAGGCTAGCCCGGTCTACTCCCTTGGTATCCTCAGCCACGTACACACAGGACTCAGGCCCTATCGTCTCCTCGCAGTTTCACCCGAAGGGAACACTTCTCTGCACACAGGGTTCTCTACAAACGCCGCTACAAGGGCTAACACGAGAACAACACGCGCAGAGGCTTCTCCTCTAGGGTCCCTAGCATAGAGACATCGCCCTATATGAACGAGCTTGAAGGAAGGCAGGGATTAAAACAGGAAAGCTTAATTCATTTCCACAAAGCAAGCTTACATACGGCTTTCCCTTTCGAGAAACCCCAAGCACTTAGCACAAATCTTAGGGATTACCTTACAAGCGCAGAAAGATCACGGGGACCGCCTTTATTCTCTAATTTACAAAGGTGGAGTAATACAGTGGTGATGGATGATTACTACTAATGGTGGATGATTCTCAAAGTGCTTCTGAGATCATGTCTTCATGTGTATGTGTGTGGGTGGAGAGTTGGTGGAGTGGGTGGTGGATGAGAGTGCGTGTCTGAGGCTATGGACGGGATGCTTCTTCCGATTGAGCTTTCGATTCGATGATGAACGAATGCGCCCGACGTCCCGCTTTATAGCACGAAGGGAGTGTCATTCATGCTTATCGTCTGAAGGAGCGAGCCTTATCGTCTGAAGGAGCCTTCGAGGCGAAGTGTTCAATTATTCCTTCCTACTGTTGCCTGGACAGCTGGACATAGAATCATTGTCGTGGCTACAGTAGAGTGACTGTATATTCCTTTTGCGCTGTCCTCCATCGCGCACGGTAGTATCCTTCTGGATATTCTTTGATATGGTCTTCCACGCCCAAATGATTGATGTTGCAAACATCAAATCAATGATAGGCATGCGGTATTGGATAGGCATGTAGTATTTTATCATGGCATGTAGTATGGCATGTAGTATTATCTCTTCCCCTGGGCAAATTGTTGATAATACCTTATCAACATAGGGAGTATATTTCTTGTATATATATATTGATATTGAACTGAGTCTATATTGACTCTTCAATATTTTCTTCGTTATTCACTTCATCAGGTTGCCATATTTCATACCAGGACAACAATTCGCGATATTCTTTTCGTAATTGACATTATTTGCCATAACTTGGCTTTATTAGTCTACCGACTTCTCTTTGTATTATACTATATCTTCTATAGTGTTCTCTCAAGAATACTTTTATTATTTTATTTTGATACATCATATAATATTTAGGAGCAAATTTGGTATTTCCTTCTAATTCTTTTGCTTCACTGAAAATTCTTCAATTATCATGGTTTGTGTCTTTTATGAACAGCTCTTCATAATTTTGCCATGAATCTGAAGTCCATGTAGTAGGAAATTTATATGATCCCTTTGTGATATACATATC